TCCTCCCTGGACTGACCTATCCCCTTCCTAACTCCCTACCTACACTCACCTTTACTGGCTCCATCCCCGCCTCTTCGACCTGTTTGTTTCCTCTCCACCTATCCTCTCCTCTATCCCTCTTCTATCCGCCTCCCACTCTCTCCCTATTTATTTCAGAACCCCCTTCCCCTCCCCCTCCCCCTTTTCTGATGAAGGGTCTAGGCCTGAAACGTCAGCCTCTCTGCTCCTATGATGCTGCTTGGCCTGCTGTGTTCATCCAGCCCTGCACCTTGTTGACAGCAGATGGTGGAATTTGGATTCAATAAATATCTGGAATTAGTGGTGACTCTGAATCAGTTGTCATAAAAGCCCATCTGGTTCACTAACATCTTTTAGGAAAGGAAACTGCCATCCTTACCTGGTCTGGCCTACATGTGACTCCAGACCCACAGCAATGTGGTTGACTCTTAATTGCCTCTGGGCAATTAGGGATGGGCAATAAATGCTGCCTAGCCGGCGACGGCCTCATCCTGTGAATGAACTTTTAAAAATGATGGTAATGTGGGAATGCATTATTTATAAAACACAGACACAGTCAGAGAGATTAGCTCAAGAGAGAGAAGAAATTAAGTTCATGATGAACTAAGTCAAAGTAGCTGGAGCTCACTTATCATGATGGTGCCAAATCTAAATAGGCCACAGAGATTTTCTATTGGCAAAACATCAATGTTGTAACAAAAATAGACTCACATCCTGCTGCTAAATTGAACAAATTGGACAAACATGAGTTGCCAAAAATTGTTTGTTAAAAGGATATTGGCAAATTCTGTTGATAGATAGAGCCACCAAAGAAATATTGACTGGTAACACCATATAGACTTTATCAATGCAAAGTTATACCATTTGAAAATGAAGATGTAGCATCAATATTGGCAGTAAGGAGCTCCCACAGTGCTTTTAGGAAGGGAGTGCTAAGAATTTAATCCAGCAGTTATGAAAATAGAGTGATATAGTTCCAAGGCAAGATTGTATATGGAATGGAGGAGAAACAGTAAATGCTGGTGTTCCCAGGTATCTGCTGTCCTTCACCTTCTAGGAGGTAGAGATCAAAGCATTGGAATGGGCTGTCAAATGAGTCTTGCTGAGTTGCTGCTGTGCGTCTGGTAAATAAAATAGACATCTTCCACTTCGCATTGGTGGTGGATGAAATGAATCTTGAAGGTGGTGGATGTGATGCCAATCAAGCAGGCTGCAATGCTTGGATGGAGGGAGCTTCTTGAGTGTTATTTGGAGCTGCACCCATCCAGGAAAGTGGGCAGTATTCCATCACACTTCTGACTTATGACTTTTAGATGGTGGACAAGCTTTGGGGAGTCAGGAGGTGAGTTACTCACCACAATATTCCTAGCTTCTGACCTGCTCTTGTAGTCGCTGTATTTATATGGCTAGTCCAGTTCAGTTTCTATTCAATGGTAACCCTCAGGATGTTGATAGATGCCGTGGAATATCACAGAGATTACAGGTAGTTCTCCTGTAATGCGATAGTTGCATTCTTGTGTTACCTCACACTATAGAAAATCACACGATAGAAAATCGCCATAGAAAATCGCATTACAGAGAAATTGCTATAGAAAATTGTTATACCTGTACAGCAGAAAGTTCACATTATTCAAACAGCATGCACTATTCATCAATCACGTTACAGCCAATTCGCATTAATGAAACAAGTGTTATAGCAAAACTACCTATAAACTCGATCCAGTAGCTGGTAGTTTGATATTTTCATACAAATATACAAATTCACTCCCGTCCCTGAGTCATGCATTCATTTCTCTAATCTTATTTGCCCTATGCCACTTTATATTTGACTCAGGTAATAGGTCAGGCACATTCTCCATGACAGTGCTGCTATCAATTAAATCCATTTGCCAAATTAGTACTCTTTTCTCATGCAGAATCAATGTTGGCTTCCCCTTGAAATGGTATTCTTGCCATTTGTCCTGACAGATGCAAGGCAGAAAGTTTTGACAAGATGTGCCCACTCCAGCTGTACTCAAGATCGATTTCAATGCTTTAAACAACTCAAATTATAAGCATCATCCATGAAGTTGCAAGGTCCAGGAAGAACATTATTTAAAGTAAAATATAAACTCACAGGTAGGCTCAGATATGGGGACAAGAAATCCTGAAATTCTTACATGGCAGTCAGAATCATGAGACAGTGTAGACATGGCCACACAAAGGAAAAGGGTGGTACTGCCAAAGCTAGAGTCTTATGCTTATCCAGAAGCATACAGGTTAAAATAAAGCAGATAAATAGAGCCTATGATAATTTCAGAAAAAAGTAGGAGATGTAGAGGAGTATAGAAAGTACAAGGTGAAGTGGAAAAGAACATTAGGAAAGCAGAGAGAAGATATGAAAAAATATCATATGGTTAAATTAAGAAAAATTCAAAGATGTTTTATTATGGTCAAGAGGATAGATCTATCAGAGATGTACATGGTAAATTGTGATTGGATGCAGAAAATTTGGGTAGGGCTCTAAATTAATATTTTGTATCTGCTTTTATAAAGAAAAGGGATGATACAGACATTCTGATTAAAGAAGAGGAGCGTGACATTTTCGATAAAATAAGCATAAGGAGCAGCATTTGAGGAACTGACTTCCTTGAAGATGCATAAATCTCCAGGGCCAGGTGAATGCAGGCTAGGCATGTTTCATTGTCTCCTGAGATATTTAGATACCAACAAAGGTCATATTGTCTCACTTACCGGAATTCTCAGCTCTGAAGCAGAAAGTCATGGAATCAAACACCATTCCAGCAACACATTATTGAGACTGATGCATAAGTGCAGAATTGAGGATGTACTCATCTTTTAGATTAGATTTTAAACTGAGGCCCTCTCTGGCTGTTCAGATAGGTATTAAAAATCTCATTATACAATTGGAAAAAAAGAATTAAGAACTGTCTTGGCATTTCCTAACCTAATATAGATCTGTCTAGATGAAGTGGCACTTCATTGCATTTTCTGTTTGTTAGTTTTTAAGAGTTATTTTTGCTGTTGCAATTTAAAGCATAAGTTCATTTTTCTTATAGTCCATCTATGGAATTTTAAACATATGTTTCAGCTTCAAGATTTCAAAGGCCTCTATCTATACAGATAGATTTTTAGTTATTGCCCAGCTTTCTGAGGCAAACAGGAAAGTTAATAAAATGTAGCATCGTACAAGTATTTTCCTTATTACATGCTTGAATTTTCTTCCTGTGAACGCATCCTTCATTCTCATGAAATTACTTCTGGCTGTACCTATCCCTCTGATTTCAGCATTGTATTCACATCTCCTCTTTTCATTTATCTTGAGTAGACAAACATATCAATTTGTTCCAGTGTGACACCAAATGCTTCAATCTTCACTCCAGTTTCTTCTGATGTATTTCTTCTAACTAGTTTTTTTTTAACCTTTTTGCTATTTATACACAGTCTGTATTCTAACCTTCTAAATTTTACTAGATCTGCAATATTTTATAGGGTCTCCTGTGAATTT